ATTTAGGTTCATAAGACCGATTTTTGATTCGTTGCATCATTCATGTCTCTTTCCTGCTAAAATTCACTATTTTTATCACGTGTTTCCCAAAAAAAACTATACAACAATAAGCTATACACCCAATTACATTATCAAATTTCATACCTCACCATCCTCCGGCCAACTGGTGTATAGTTTTTTTGATTCGTTGCATCATTCATGTCTCTTTCCTGCTAAAATTCACTATTTTTATCACGTGTTTCCCAAAAAAACTATACAACAATAAGCTATACACCCAATTACATTATCAAATTTCATACCTCACCATCCTCCGGCCAACTGGCCTGGGGCCCACGCTAGTACATTTTAAATGATTTGATTTGCTTCATTTCAAATTTCCTGCAGCGAGAGTGAAAGTAGAAATTTTATTTTTATTATTTACTTCATATAAAAAGATAACAAGACCAAGATTTGAACCATGGTCTCTTTAGTCAGAGACAACAATCATAACCAATTACACTAAACAAATATAATATATCCTTTTTATTACATAACATACACAAAGTTAAATTTGAAACGCAAAGGACTTTTGCATAACGATTAGCTAGTACACTAAGTCTCTTTTAAGTATTTTTATGGTGATTGATACTTCGATTTTAATTGGCTTTTAATAAGTAATTAATTCTTATAACCTATGAAAAATAATCTAAAAACCGCAATACAAAATCTCCATCACACAATTTGTTGCTACTCATTGGGACTTGAAACTAACAAAAAACTCCTCTAAATAATAAATTTCTCGATCTATAATTTTTTTTTATGCGTTGAAAATTAAGTTGTCTCTAAAAGTGTAGAAATCCACCAATTATATTATCTAATAGATAATGAAATCGAGGTCTTGGAGATCTTATTGTCTGAAATTTCAATGTAAATATTTCGTGTTCTAATTTGTAAGATTTATGTTAATTCCAAGATTGAACAATTTATTTTTTCAATGGCATTGAGATTTGATTGGAATTGAGATTTGATTGGAAGAATGGAGAGCTCAGATATGCCATTGGTGAGTATCATTTTCTTATTTTTTTTTTATTTTTAGCTTTATTTCTATAAGATTATTTGTTATTGTATGTGATACTTTGTATTTTTATATATTTTTTTTTACTATAATGAGTGGGGTACTAAAGTTAATTTGAGTTGAATTTAGGATGATGAGATTTAATCATAGTTTAAAAAGCAAGGTATAACAATTTTAATGACAATTAATTTAGTTGCACCAATTTCCTCTGGAAATGCTTGAGCCATGCTACTGTAATTACATGTACCCAATTCAATTCCTACTTTCATCCACTACAACTCCTCTAAGAAAGTGCCCCTCCAATTACTAAAATAATTACATGTTGATGGAAATCATAGGCTATCATGTTCGAGAAAGCGTTGTTCCCCCTTTTGCATGTCTTAGTGATAAAGGACTTTATGATGCTTCAGACTAGATGCAATATCAAGCGAGAGCCTACTATCTTCCAACTCGAGTATTAGGTCGTTCGAATCAATCTAATTCGTGTACTATAATTTATGAAATTTTCAATATAAATTACAATTTTATAAAACAATAAAAAAATAAAATTTTATAATAATTTTCTGTGATAAAAATTATGATGATGCACAACTCCTCTTACGAGAGTTAAAGTTCAAACTTGACCACTTATCCCCACTAAAACACCAACAAATTTAAACAAGTTGAAAATAAAGGATGGAGAGGTAAACTCATTTTTTAATCTAACCAGTGATTGATATTCAAAATGCTTATGTTTTCTCTAATATTTAAGGTCAATGCATAGTTCATATAATGCGGAGTTGCCAAAATAAGAAGTGAGGCTGGGATTTTAATTCATAACCTCCTTAAGACAAAATTTGATAGTATCCAAGAGCTTGCTATCGCCAAATCGAGCTTACCGAGCTTCATGCCATTTGTATTAGTGTATTTTTGTGTATTATAAATTTGAAGTGTCAAAAACAAATTATGATCTCATTATAATTAATAGGAAAAGGGGATGGAGATCCACCATCTTCTCTGACAAGAGTCAAAGATCAATATCGACCATCAATATCCACTAAAACATTGAAAGACAATAAATTGAAAATAAAGGCTGTAGAGGTGCTAAAACTCAATTTTGTTAATATTTAATATCTGATTGTATCTCCAATATTTCGGACAACCTATATCTATACAAAAATTGTTGAATAAGGAATGAGGCTGCGATTTTGGTACATAACCTTCTTTATTTGTTGCTTTAGTCACTATAATTTAAGCACGAATCTCAAGAGTTGCAACTAAGGATGTTTTCGATGTCTCACAAATTTTTTACTAACTATATTTCCTTCTTCATATCAGATTAATTGAAAATTATTAATGAAAAAAATTAACAAATGCTATCACATGTATTTTGCGAGAATATATAACAACATCAAAGACGTCACCCACTATGTAACACTATCTTTACTCTTTCATTATTTTTAACTTCCAATTCATTTGAGAAAAGAACTTTACACCCACTAAACATATAGTTTTTGACTAAATATTTTACCTCATTGTTGCCAGTTTATAAGTTCAAGTTCTAGTTTCGAGTTATGCAGATAATTGCAAATATTTATTACGTGCTTAGCATTTAGTGTATTTGATAATGGAGATAATAACGATTTGAGAAAAAAGAAAGACACTGTTGATGTTGGAGATATAAATTTCAATGATAGAGAAAGAGTGAATATATGATAATGTTCAGAAATTGGATTAAGATAAACTCTACTAATCAAAAATTATATTTTATATGAGTTTTTTACTTTTCAATAGTTGGATAATTTGGACTCTTTTCCTATACCAAATAAAATGTAACTCCATCAAATATTGCTATTGTTGTTCTGCATTAATGAAAAGTATCCGGCCAACGGGCCGGACCCATATCTAGTAGACTAAATGCACTTTCAATCCATCTGCTTTTGACTAGGAATGGCAACATAACCCGAACCCACGGTTACCCTACCCAACCCTATCCAGTTAACGCGGATAAAACCCGCATTGACAAATTATGGGCTGGGTTCGGGTTTAAACCCGCTTGCTGTTTTGCGGGTCTGGTTGGGTTCGGATTTAGCTATATCTAACCCGCTCCAACCTATAGCCATCCCCAACCACGAATCTCTTACCCACTTCTCATTCGGCCATTCCCCCATACTAATCTACATTAAGCAACTAATCTACGTTAAACAACTAATCTTCCTTATGTTAGTGGAGACATGTCTAATTTGTTCTTCCTAATTGTGTAGAATGAAGTTGATATTATAGAGTGGAGAGTGAAAAAGTTTAGTTGACAGGAGGAAGAAGTTTTCAATTAATAATGTTGTTTATGGATGTTTATCTTTAATGTTGAAGAATTTGTATGGATACTTTATGGTTTCCTTATATGCTCTAGATTGATGTTTTTTTGTTTATATAATTTTTCTGGGAAGAATGACGTCAGACTTTTATTTTGATAGGAACTTGATGATGTGAATTTTTTACTACAGGATCCATTGGTATCCATAAACCATCGGGTTGGGTATGAGTTTTTCAAACCCAATGAGTTTTACCCCAGGTTGTTTTATCCCTACTTTTGACTACTTCTCCATTGAGATCCAACAGTAGTCAAAACCGGAAGAAAGTCGATATATGAAGTCAAAGAATAGAACTAAGCCATTTTGGGAAGTCGACTAATCATCGAACTTCTGATGTAAGAGCGTTCTTGGCACCAAAATGAGATGCTCTATTAACTCGTCGAGTAACATGGGAGCAAGAACAAAACATGACGATTATCTCTCGCCAAAACCCGGCGAATAGTTAGTTGCGAATTCCCATGAAATTGGATTAAAGGAAAATGATGAGTTAAGCACCCATTCAAGGCATCTCGCAATGTCAAAAGAACTGCAAGGAAGGAGTCATGAATGCCTTCTTAAAACTTACTCAAAGCAAAAGTATCATGCCTGAATGATCAAACTCCACAAAGGCAGAATTGACACCCTGCTTATGTTGAGCATAGCCATTAAATCCCACTGACATAGCCGCAACTGGGGACATAGCAGCCGCGTGCAATCTGGAGAAGAGAATGTCTGATATAGGTGGTCGAGCAGCCCTGTTCTCAGCGCGGGTCCAAGGGGAGTTTGCGGATGGATCTTGCAAGGGATCTTGTGTGGAGACCCTCCACTCCACAAATTGTCAATAAACTGTAGGAGGTAGGAACTGAATTATGCCATGAATAGCCCATCATCTTCCTTTCCAAATCCCCCAACATAGAATAATGACCTCAGCGACCTGCACTTTGGACAAACGTAGAGAAAAGAAGAGGAGTTTCCAAGCATAAGTGGGGTCACGTACCTTACTATAGTATTATATCCTCTTTCCTAGGTAACTGATGCAAGCCTCGAGCCTGAACCATGCTCCTCAAAGTTTGGAGAAGGAGGCGTGCCGCAGGAGCAAGAAGGGTGGGTGGGGGCTAAAATCCCTTATCAGAAGTGAGGATTCCCTGCCCATGGATTTTGAGGCGCGACCCGGGGATTTAAACATGAGGGTTTCCCTGAGGTAGAAGGTGAAATCCCATCCTAGGGATTTGAAGACCTAACCTGGGGATCGGGACAGACGGAAGCTTGTTGGTTTATGATTTCTTTCATTTTATGTGTTGGACTAGTTTGTTGTTTCCCTAGCCTATATGAAGGCTTAAACATGAGTTTTACTCCAGTTTTTGGCAAGACACTAAAGAATATTGAGTTTATTTTTGTTCATTGAGGTTTAGGCTTGTGAATTCTTTCTCTGTATCAATTGAGTTTTTTCCCTCGATTGTGGTAGAGATTCAACCCATATTGATAGAGCATTCTCTCAAGTGTGAGATTGCACTTCAGTTCTGTTTTATCTCTATCTTTAATTCATTTTCTTAGCTATGTGACTTTGATAACTATGCACACCGGTTTCGTGCACGTACCACTAACCGTCACACTCCTAGGTATCCTACATTTCATTAAATAGTGCGTGAGCATTTCTTCACCCTTAGAATAGAAAATACAGCTCGTGGAAGTGACGAACTTCTTGTTGAGTAGAACCATTTGAATGGGTAAGAATCCTCTAATAGAGCGCTAGGTGAAATTCCTCAACTTTGGTGGTACCGGTAAGCTCCATAAGTACTTCCAAAACCTGTAGTCAAAAGGCAACACAATGGGAGGAACTCGTGCATTGATCTCATTTGTAAGAACCTGGTAATATGTTTTAACTGTATACTCCCCTGAGATAGTGTAATGCCAAATCAAGAGATCCTGTGACGAGCGAAGGGCTAGGGGAATGCCTAAGGTGATCTTGATTGTGGCTGGATGGAAGAGGTTGTCCAAAAGATCTCGCTTCTAGCTACACATGTCACTGCAGATAAGTTAAGCCACCCTTTGTGGAGCATTGCTTACCCTAGGAAGAAGGAATTGGGAGGAAGGAGGAGTAGTCGGCAACCACCAATCCTCAAAGACACGAATTGAAGAGCCATACCCAACCTGCCACCGAAGTTCGTGCTTGAGGAGATCGAGACCTTCTAGGACTTCTTGCCATGCCCAAGATTGCAATGAATACACATATGAGGGCATGTGCAAGGAAAAGGCAGAAGGAGAGTGATATCTCTCAAACTTTGTTGAATTTGCAGCCAACATCTACAGCTACTGGTGGTCAGGTAGGATCTCTTTCGACATAGAAGTTTGACCAGACTGAATGTAGGATTTTTCTAGCTGAGATGATAATATTGGATGCAATTCCCTTTAAATATGTGGAGCATGAAGGATTTAGACATTTTATGGCATTGACGCAACCCTTGTTTGTACCTGGTAGGATTACTATTAGAGAAGATTGTTACTGTATCTTCCTTGAAAGAAAAGATATCCTGAGAAATTTCTTTGTCACAAAATGCAAAGTAAGAATATCGATAACCACAGATACATGGACTTCTGTATAGAATGCAAACTATATGTGTGTGAATACTCAATATGTTGATAAAGATTGGAAGTTGGTGAAAAAGGTCATATGCTTTGTTGAGGTGACTAGTCATACTGGAGTTGATATAGCAGAGAGATTTTGTAGTTGTCTAGATGGGTGGAAGATCAGGAACTTGTGTTGCATCACAATGGCTAACACTAGTGCGAATGATGTTGTGGCCGATTACATTATTGATAAGATGCATGAGTGGGGGAAGAATTTGTGCGAATGATGTTGTGGCCGATCACAATGGCTAACGCTTCCACACTTCTTACTCCTCTTTCGGTGGTTCTCTTATCACTTCTCGTCAAACCCTAATCATATCCCTTGAGAGCCATATCTTCAAGAAATTCGGTGACTTGAGGAGGGGTCATGTTCATCAACCTCCTTTGGCAAAGAGAGTCGATAAGGATCATGTCATCTTGCATGAGTCCTCCATAGAATGTTTTGATTCGGAATTTCTCCTCGAAGCCATGGTGGGGTTATTGGAGGAAGTAGTCCGAGAACCTTTCCCATCCATCCCTCAACAACTTATCCTCCTCTTGCTCGAAGTGACTAATCTTCTTCCTCCACTCGGCCATCTTGGAAGGAGGGCAATATCGGGTCATGAACTTGTTGAGGAGATCGTCCCAAGAGGTGATGGATAGAGTCGGTTGGTTGTTGAGCCATCGGAGTGCCTTCCCCGCCAAAGAATAGGGGAAAAGCCTCAGTCGCAACGCCTCCTCGGTGACGCCATTAATCTTCAAGCTTTCCGCTAGCTCAAGAAACATTTGGACATGCAATCATAGTGACTCATGAGAAAGACAGTGGACGTAGGCATTTTGTTGAATCATCGAGACGAGAGAGGGCTTGATTTTGAAATTGTTGGCGGCCACGGGTGGATGAAGTATTGGTGATTCGATATCCGCCGCCCGTGGAGCCATGTAATAGCCATCGTCCTTGGCTCTTCCACGACTCCCGCTTCCACATTTTCATTCGGGGCCAGATTGGCAGCTTGAGGTTGATTTGCCGCCATCTCAATCTCAACTTCTTCTTCAATTCCTTCAAATCTGGGACCAACTATTTATTCCCTACCTTCACTTCTTCTTCTTGCCTCCGCTGCTCTCTCTCACGAGCTAGAAGTCGGAGAGTCTGGTTGATATCCTCGTCCAATGGTGCTAAAAGCGCCGGATTGCTCCGGGCCATGCACCTCCCTACACACACTCAAAGAACACAACTCGTATGGCACAACCACACACTTCAACTCTTAACAAAACAGAAATTAAAAGCTAGATTAACACCAAACAAACTTTTCACGATAACGGATCGTTGATCCCCGTCAATGGCGCCAAAAACTTGACTCGTACCTGACTATCACAATAAAATCCAAACCTAAGGTACCAGTATAAACCTTAGATGGGTGCAATACAGGGCAAGTATGTTTAACTATCGACCCGGGCCGGTCCATGTACCTCTACTTCGACCGTTTGAAACATTATCTTGCGAATCGGTTTTGGTGAAAATAAAGATTTAAAACTAAATTACTTTGCAAAGGTCAAATGGATTTGACTCTAGTTGAGAAAGCTTCACCCTGGTCGTCAGTAACCTCTGAAACCCTCTTGGACACCTCGCTGTTCACGGTTTGTCGTTCTAGTTCACGGCCTTAGAGACCATGAACTCCAATGCCAGGCCATGAAGTTCAGCTGATTCCTCCTCTTTGCCCATTCTTTGATCCACTTCTCCCAACTTTCCACTATAGGGTCGGTTTCACCAATTAGGATCTGAAACACACTGAAAAAAACGAAACCTAGCGTAAAACCAACCTTTTAGGAGTTCAAATGTCACAAAGGTCAAGTGGAAATGGGGGCTAAAGTTTTTTTTGTTGATCCTACTCCTACTCCTACCTAGGGATGGCAATGGGTCGGGTCGGGGGGCGGATAGTGCATATCTGTTATCTTACCTAAAGTAGTTCGGGTTTTACCCATATCCATACCCACATAAGAAACGGGTAGAAAATCGAAACCATGCCCATACCCGTTCGGGTTTTGGGTATCCACGATTATCCATGGGTCAAAATTTCTCTTTATAACTCCAACCAATATGTTAACATTCATACATATTCTCACATTACACAAGAGGAAATGCAATACGATAATTAACTAAAATGAAGAAAATTAATTAACACAACACAATTTCATGGAAATATTATATTTATATGCTAAATATAAAATATGTTAGTAAAAAATAATGATTATTTCTAGACAAAATGCATATGCATGTGTATAATCGTGCGGTTTCGGGTTGGATAGTGAGAAAACCATGCCCACCCATTATCGCAATATTCGGGTTCGGGTTATACCCGTACCTACTAAAAGTCTTTCAGGTTCGGGTTTTACCCTACCCGATTAGGTCGGATACAGATGGATATCCACGGTGACAGATATTTTTGCCATCCCTACTCCTATCCCCATAGTTGATGTTGATTGACTTGATGTTGTTGTTGATTATGATTCTGTTGTCAATCTCGATAACGAGAATGAAGATCTCGGAGTAAATGAGGAAAAAATCCAAAACTACCATCGTTTAAAAAAAATTACAAAAATACCACCCAGACCAAATAATTTCCAAAAATACCATCTTGTAATGCCGACACTTAAACGCTCTTTCCTAAAGTGTTTTGTGGTAGGGTTAGCCTATAACCGCTCCTTCCAAAAGCGTTTTGTTCTGGAAATTAAAAACGCCTTTCCGTGGCGCGGTTATTATGTAAAACGCTTCCTGGAAGAGCGGTTTTAGTATAAACCGCGCCTCTAAGGCGCGGTTTTAAATAAACGATGGTATTTTTGGAAATTATTTGGAGTGGGTGGTATTTTTGTAATTTTTTTTTAAACAGTGGTAGTTTTGGATTTTTTCCAGTAAATGATGACTATGGGTTAGAAGATTTGGAGCGAGATCCCCGAATTTAGTTTGATGATTTGGAGATAATGAGCTTGTTATTTGTGGTTGGTTGTGATTGTTACTTGTGGTTGAATTGTGGGCATGTATGAGTTGATGACGAGTGGAGTTGTGGTTGATTTAGACTTTATGTTCAAGTGATTTAGATGAACTTATTCTCAAGTGATTATATAGTTACTTGTGTAAAATTGGCAGGAGGCAGCGGCTGAAACAAACAGCAGGTCACTCAAAAGTGGTGTTGATACAAGTCACTGAAATTCAGATTCGGGGTCGGTTTCTTATCAAAAGCCGAGAAACCGAGGCAGGTCTGCGGTCTCTCTGAACCGAAACCGAAAATCAAAACTTCCTGGTGCGATTAGCGGTTAACCGAAGGCCCTTCGATCTCGGCTTCGGTTGGTGGTGCGAGGTCATTCTCGGTCTCGGCTAACCGATGGTGCGATTTGGTTAAACTAAAACTGCACCGACTAACAGGCCTAAGCCTATGTACTTGTAATCCATGGATAGATGATGTTGTGATTGCAGAAAGAATGGTGGCAAAAAATGCTTCTGAGTACAATGCAACCAATAAGGGAGAAAGAGGGTCACCTTGACGGATACCTCATTGGGCTCGGAAATATACATACTCCACTCCATTCATGAGCACGGAGAAATTAACAGTCGTGATGCAGGAGTGAATCCATCGGAGCCAGCAATAAGCAAACCCCATTGCCTCTAACACTGCTAGTAAAAACTTCCACTTAACATGGTCGTAAGCTTTCTCCACGTAAAGCTTTAATGCCATCCACTTCTCTTTACCATGTACCTTTGTCTTCAAGGAGTATTTTAGCTACAATCTTGTAAAGAACCTGACATAGGTTGATCGGCCTCATTTGGCGCATGTTTTCCACATTTAGCCACCTTCGGAATAAGGGCTATCCACGTGTCGTTGATTTCGCGAAGCAATTACCCAATCCTGAAAAAGGAGATGATAGCTTCACCCATGACTGGTCCTACTTCAGTTTAAAATAGCTGATAAAATGCATTGGTGAATCCATCGGATCCAGGTGCTTGTGTTTTCCCAATGCCGAAAACGACTTCCCTAATCTCATCTTGAGTGACTTGTGCCATTAGACTCGCATTCATTTAATCACTTACCACACTGGCCAACCCTATACTACGAACAAACTCCTGGGGATCAGCCCCTGCAGACAAGAAAAGATTCTGATAAAAGGAGACAACCACTACGACTTTCTCTTCTTCCTTGTAACACCCTAACCCGGCCGGGTACTACTTTTACTAAAATGCCCTTGAAAAATAAAAGGACCAAATCTTAAATTGCAACTGGGAAAAATTTTAATAAATAAAATACTGAAAACACACTCTTGTAGTTCAAGGCAAAGCCCTAACACGTGGGCAAATTAAGCTCAAACTTTAAAATCTCAATATGATCTCAGAATAATCTCCAGTCTGTACTCATAATCATAAATTTAAGTAACTAATAATCTCTGAAGTTGTTGCTACTGAAATCTTTGACTATGCATCCTCTGTGACGCTTATACTGCTCTCCTCTAGCTGGTTGCCCTCGAACTCGCTGTTCACTAAATGCTCCTCTAGCTCATCCTCTAGCTCTTCAAACTGGTGAGTGAGATGGGATCAGTCTACGCCCTTACGTTTAACATCTTATTAATGCTTGATCACTTTACTTAACTGAGTGGAAGTTGTTTTGTACTTCCACTATTAAAAGCTTAACTCTTAAAACTGTATGGGAGTTACTGTTACTCCATTCTTAAATCTCAAAGCTTGACTTAAATACTTGACTGACACTGGGATCCCTCACTAGCTAGTCCGGTTGCCAACTCATACGTATGAGAAACCATCTAGGCTTTCCTTAAACTTAAACTTAGTTAGGGAAGTCGTAACGATTCATCCCCCTAACATCTTAAACTTATCGTGGTGGCTCTTCACCACGATTCTCAAGGGCATAACTGCTGCCCATCTTAAAAGTCTCAAGAGCATAACTACTGCTCTATCTGAAAATCTCAAATGGCAACGGACTGTGGCTAGTGACTAAAAACACTTAAAACGACTTCACCTTCTTGACGGTGAGTTACTTCTTAAAAAAAGAACTTGCTTCTTAACTTCAACAATAACTTGTAAACTTAAAGCTTAAATTTAAATAAAACTCATGCATAGTCACATCAAGCATGGCTCAAACAAAATCACATATCATCAACCATAAGCACAATCAAACAACGACATTCACTTCATCAAAAATACTCAAGACTTGAAATTCTTGAAAGAACACGTAAGGCGTAGAATTTACCCCCTTTACACTCACCTCGAAAAGACGACCCTTCTTCACTACTAGCTAATCCATGTCATCGCCTGAAATTCCACGCTCCAACTCCTCGTGCTTTGCCTCCTTTTGCAAAACCTCCTATTAGGTATTTAGGCAAAGCTTAACTCTCTTATCTCAAAGCGTAACTAACCAAACGAACTCCAATTTGGTTAATTTCAATCCCAATTTCCTCTATTTAATCTCTCCTAGGATTCCCCATAAAATTCTGGAAAATTACCTTTTTGCTCCAAAATGGCAATTTACCAATTGATACTCGAATTTCCTGGGTCTTATCAATTCGGTCCCAAATTTCCAGAATTGCACAACCCAGTCATCCAGGCCAATTTCCACTTTCTGATTTTGACATTCTGGTCCAACTGGCATATTTCCAATTCAATACCCAAACATTTACTAATTGAGAACTCATCCCCAGCCTGGTCAATTACTTTACGGCGCCTAAACTTCCAAAATTTAACAAATCTCCCCAATTCCGAAAAGACAAATACGCCCCTAACTATTCATCAAATTTTCAATTGCACGCCATTAAACTCCCATAACGCGGGAGAACCACTCACCTGTACACCGCCGCCGCCGTCGATGTTGCGGTTCCGGCCACCGTCGCCGTCGTCCTGCTCTCCACCTCCGAACCCACAACAATCGCATTCCTCCGGCTCTTCTTCTTACTCGGACACCGGCAGCCCAGCGATCGACTTTTCAGAAAGTTCGTCGTCGATGCCGGTCACACCGCCGCTGCGCCTCGGTCCACACATCGGAGGCCAGCTCCTGACCGCCCAAGCCCGTGGCCGTTTCCATGGGTAACCTCGTGGCCTCGCCACTGTATCCTCACCCATTCCATTGCCTTTGGTGTGGTCACCAACCGATCCTGTTACGGCAGCCGTCGTTGAGTTCCCGAGCTCCCTCTTGCGTCCACGGACCACCACTCGGGTTTGGATCATCCTATTTCCCCGTTTAGCTCGCGTCGACCCCAACATTGCCGTGCCAACGCCCTGGTCGTAAGAATCGTCCCCGACTTCTCTTCCTTCTCGTTCCCTGCCTCTCGCTTGGAAAAAGAATAGAGGCACTTCCTCTTCAAATTCAATGAGCCGCTCTCGCCCTAATTTACCCTAACTAAGTGTTGTTTTAATCCCCTATTAAATCGACAGTTACCTTCCGATTTCCCCGTTTTTTTTTTCTTTTTTTTTTCTTCTCTGCTGCCTCCCTGCACCCGCCGATTGCTCTGTTTCTGGTCGATTTTTCAGGGGAGAAACTCTCCTCTCTTCTGGCGCTTAAAGGGCTTCGCCCCTCTCCTTCCCGGGCCTAAAGGCCACTTCTTCTTTCCATTTCAGCGAGCCCATTCACTTGTTCCCCCTTTTAATTCGTACACGGGCTCGAGCCCTTCTTCCTCTTCTTTTCGCTGGGCCGGCAGGCCAACCCACACTTTCTCTCCTTCTCTCGGCTCGGGCTAAGCCCACCACAAGTGAGTTTCAGCTCACTTCTTCTTTCCTTCACCTTGGGCCGCCCATGGAAACCAAAACAGGCCCACTCGGACCACCTCTCTTAATTGCAATTTCATGCCAGCCCAAATAACAAAATCAGATTAGCCCAAACACTAAATTGAGTCCTGATCCGAAAATCCAATTATGTCTGTAACTTCTTCATTTTATATCGAAATATGACACCGTTCGAACCAGTAGTTCGTGTTTTTAAATCCTCATCCATACTACATCGGAACTTGACGAATTAAACCAAGGGTAAAATAGTCATTCGACTTTTAGAAAGAGCGGGGTGTAACATTCCTTGTTGTGTAATTCCCCATGCTCAATCACGCGGGAACAAAATAGAATTAGATCTTTTTTATTGCTTCATCGTCAAGTGAAAGAATCTAGTGTTGTTATTCCTAGTGCGCAACCAATTGACCCGAGATTTTTGCCGCCAATAGGCTTCGTTCTTGTTTGTACGCCGCTCCTAGCTTCGAGAGCATTAGTCCGATCCCAATCAACCATAGGAGCCTCTCGAGCTTCATCAATGCTTATCATGAGTTCACAGATTTTCCTTGCCGAATGAGATGGTCCTTTGCTCGTCCAGCCCACCAATTCATGTCGGAAGTTGTACAATTAGGATTGGATGTTCCAACTTTTATTTTCTTGTGAACAAATATTACTATTAGGCCCAATCCCAATCACAAGTTGAATGGCCATTTAATTTAAGTAAACCGTGTACCAACAAAAGAATATTCCAACCTTTTCCCCTGTTGCTTTAGAACATGCTTGTTACGCCGGCCGACGTGCCACCAGTTGTATCGGGTTCAACCGATACCGGTCATAAAATCGGCGTGACATCACTGGTATGATCGGCATGATCGATATACGAACCTCTAAGTAAAATGATCTTATTATAGAAAATTTAATTGATAAAAATTATTTTATTATTTATTTTATGAGTATAAAAGTTAAATATTGATGTTATTTGTTGGATTCAAATATAAATGTTTAGGTATTGACGTTAAATGTCATGTTTAAATATGAGTATTTATAATTTTATTTGTAATATTGACCGGCATGAACCGACACAAACCGATATGTGCCACCGGTTGAACCATTTCACTTGCTAAACCGGCACACTGGCATAAAACCGGTTTGACAACCTTGCTCTAGATCTAGAATTTGATCCACCAAACCTCGAAATCAACTACCACAACCCAACAAACCTCTCGTCGTTTTCCTCCTTTTCTCACCAGTCCGAGTCTCAGCCAACCCCACAAATCCCAACCAAACTCTGTAACGCCATTGAAACTCAGATAGACCGATAAGGAATCCATCGAAGGGAAAGGAGACGACCCCTCAACCTTCCATTCACATTTCGCTCTTTCATTTCTCTCTGTTATTCTATAATTCCATCTCCTCCAATGGCCTCCTTATCCATCATTTCCCCTCCCGCCGTCACTTCCTCCTCTTCCGCCTCCTCGTCTCTCTTCCATGCCCACCGCCCGACCCTTTCCTTCCGCAAATCCCACAAACCCTTCTCAATCAAAGCCCAATCCGCCCCTGTTCTCACCCAAGACGACCTCAAGAAGCTCGCCGCTGACAAAGCCGTCGATTACGTGAAATCCGGCATGGTCCTCGGCCTCGGAACCGGTTCAACCGCCGCCTTCGTCGTCTCCAAGCTCGGAGAACTTCTCAAGTCCGGCGAATTGAAGGACATCGTTGGAATCCCTACTTCAAAGCGCACAGAGGAGCAGGCCCGATCCCTAGGGATCCCTCTCTCCGTCCTCGACGACCACCCCAAGCTCGACCTTGCAATCGACGGCGCCGATGAGGTTGACCCGGATCTCAATTTGGTCAAGGGCCGCGGCGGGGCACTGCTGAGGGAAAAAATGGTGGAAGCCGCTTCGGATAAGTTCGTGGTGGTCGCCGACGAGACCAAGCTCGTCGACGGGCTCGGCGGGAGTAAGCTGGCGATGCCCGTGGAAGTTGTGCAGTTCTGCTGGAAGTATAATCTGGTGAGATTGAAGGAGCTGTTCAATGAAGAAGGCGTGGAGGCGAAATTGAGATTGAACGACGATGGGAAGCCGTATGTTACTGATAACTCGAATTACATTGTGGATCTCTACTTCCAGACTCCGATCAGAGATGGGTACGCCGCCGGGAAGGAGATTCTGTCGTTTGAAGGTGTGGTGGAACATGGGTTGTTCTTGGATATGGCGACGGCGGTGATCATCGCCGGGACGAGTGGAGTGGAAGTGAAAACCAAGTGACTTTATGGTCCGAGATTGGGTAATATTTTCATTGCCGTTGATTGAAATTTTTCTGATCTATAAAGATCTGTGATCTTTTGCTCATTTGCTAGCATAGCTATGGATGTAATTGTTTACTGCCTGAAATAATCCACAGAGATTTCCAAGCTCTTATGGTGCTGGTTTGTTCAGTTTCTTGCCATCTTTTGGTCCTTTTCGTTCAGTGTCATCAATGGCTTGTTTGAATGGGTGTTCATAGGGTTCATATTTTAGGGCTGAAAGCTCTTAGGGGAAGGAATGGGAGTGAGAGGAGCTTTTTATTGAGGTGAAAATTATAAACTGACATTGTACAGAGCCAAATGGCGGCAGACCAGTTTATATGATCATCGACAGTACAGTAGCAAGATCATGGTCCAAACTCATTTCCTATGATCACATATCCAAATCAGAAATTAGGAACCGTAGACAAGATTGCTTGTTCTTTCCTATTTCCACTCGGCCGTGATCATCAACAGTACAGTAGCAAGATCATGGCCCAAAGTCCAAACTCCAAAGTAACTTCTGTTGCGGCATTGAGGTTCCTGTGGAAACAGATTGGAAACCAGCCATTAGAATCTGAACTGAAGCATTGATCCTGGAGAAGAGAGGTTGAAAGACAAAATCACATAGGGACAAGGATTTGTACCATAAGTCTTCATTCAAAGCAGTGGAGCTCGGTGTTGGTTCAGTCGATGATGAGTTTGAGAAGTTCATCCTCAGATTAGCAGAGTCAGCAACAGAGAAGTGATAAATTTGAAAAAAAAAAAAAAAAACTTGCTGCTCAAAGTTAGTAACTGGAGTGACTATACAGAGAAGTGATCATCAAAGAAACTTGCTGCCCAAAGCCAGTAACTGGAGTGACTATACATCTAGGATCGATAGAAAATATCATTTGAATTTTCACACCATGTCCTTTATGCAAAGAAGCACATCAACAGATCTCGTCAAATCTATCAAATTCATAGAAGATGGGTCTAGTTGACCATAAGTTGGTCCTTTATGCTTATAAAGTAATGAGATTAAGTATATTGACAACAGATTTTATTTAAATCTATCAAACTTATCGAAGATGTGTCTAGTTGATCATAACATGGTTTCTTATTGAACAGAGTAACTAGGGATGGCAATGGGTCGGGTTGGGGCGGGTTTTGTCAAACCCAAACCCAAACTCATGGGTTTATCCGCCAAAAAAACCTGGGGTAAAATCCGTTGGGTTTGAAAAACTCAAACCCAACCCAACCCGCTGGGTATCCGCGGGTTCATGGGTACCCGTGGGTTTTTGTGGTAAAAATTTACAATAACAAGTTTCTTTCAAAATAAAAGTTTAACATCAATTTTCTCATACAAATTAATCATACAAAAAACACCAATCTAGAGCGTACAAACAAACCGCAAATGATCAATACAAATTGTTCAAAATTAAAGATAAACATATATAAACAATAAGATTAATTGAAAGCTTCTTCCTCGTCAACTAAGTTTCTTCACTCTCCACTTCATAATATCAATCTCATTCTTAAACAATTAGAAAGAACAAATTATATATGTCTCCACAAACATATAGAATATTAGTTGTTTAAGGAATATATATTATTTAGAATATTAAATATATCGGGAAAGTAATTATATGTGTGTGGGCGGGTACCCATGGGGCGGGTTTACCTAAACCCAAACCCAACCCGACCCGGTGAATAGTGTAGCGGGTTTAAACCCGAACCCGGCCCAAAACCCGTCAACACGAATTTTACCCGCGTTGACCGGGTTGGGTCGGATGGGTACCCGTGGGTTCGGGTTTTGTTGCCATCCCTAAGAGTAACAGAGAACCTAAACATATGATATATAACCTAACTAGATCTTGCAAATACTTAAGTTCATGTGATTTATACAAAGGCGGAATAAGGTGCTAACACTCCGCAGTGTTAGCATCATGCTAAAATAATTCGTTACACGTATTATAGTAACTATTCACTCATAGCAGCTCCCTTCCCCTTCCTCGTCTCATGGGTTTGGATTTCATATGCAGAGTACAATTTGATACGTAAACTTAATATATTTTAGGTTAAATACACTTGTATATCCAAAACTTTCATGGTTGTGCCAATAATATCCAAATTTGATGAAATACCACTTAGAGCCACTTCCGTCGAATTCTTTAACTGTGTCAGCTAATAAGCTGACTGGACAAACTGATATGCTGAGTTGGCGAGTTTCTCCAACAACAATTCCACGCTGGATTAGATTTAAAAAATAAAAAGTAAAATAAAAAAAGGAGATGAAAGGTCCCCACCAAACGCACACTCCATCCTTCCCTCTGGGATTACTCAGCTCCACCAGTCGTCGCCGTTGCTTCTTCGCCTCGTCGAACCCAAAACTCCACCATTCCTTCGCCCAGATGAGGGAGGCTTTGCGATTTCGAGTGCGATGCTGAACTATCCTTGTTCTTAACACCCAATTCTCTGATTCCAACCCCAATTCTCTGACGCGATAAGCTCAATCCCTTTGAACTCCCTCTCCTTCTCCTTGCCCATGATCTCAAACAGCTCCGGATCTGCCTCGCAAATTGGTTGGTTTCCGCAAGCCTTCACCGAGCTCCGACGTTCCTGCAAATCCGATTCGCTCGCCATGACTGGCCTCTTGGCCGGGCCGCAATGAATTTCGGAATCGGGGCGACGCCTCTTGAAGCACATCGAGTGGCCCAAAATCCAAAACTCCCTCTCGTCCTCCTCGTCCCCCGGATCGCGATTCAGCTCCATGGCGGCACCACCGTTCTGGTTGTGGAGGAGTCCGCCGCGGTGGCAATTCTCGTTTATCGACTCCAGTAGCTGCAACCGGGAGGTGGTGGACGGAGGCGGCTGAAGAGGCGGAAGAGGGGAAGAACCCTAATTTCAAAATTGGGGAAAAGTTGGGGATTCAGATGGTGCGAAATGGGGGATATTAGGGTAATTTTTAATAATTATGATGTGTAAATAATAAATAATTTAAATATCTGATGTGTCATTATTTGCCTATTTGGCGCTGACGTGTCCATTGAGTTGGCGCCTAGTCAGCGAACCGCCAAATAAGTTGACGGTGTTTTTAACACCGTTAAAGTTTCTAACGGAAATGGATAGATTTGGCAAAGAACAACTTTAAAACATGGCTATAAGTGGTATTTCGTGAAACATGGATATTATTGGCACAACCGTGAAAGTTTTGGATATACAAGTGTATTAAACCTATATTTTGAGATTTAGTATCTAAAATTAATTTTTTTTTGCTTATAAGTCCTAAAAATATTGATGAACATTTATACTTTACAAATAGGTCCAAGTTTATAAGATTTCTAGTATGCTTTAAGAAACTTGTGGTTTGCTTTTATGAGGTTCTAGTTTGCTTTTAGAACTTGTGGTCTCCTTTATGAGATTCCGGTCTACTTCATGAATTTGGTAGTATGTTTTATAAGGTTTCTCGTATGCTTTAAGAAATTTGTGGTATGCTTTAGAAGGTTTTTGGTCTACTTCAAGGAACTTGTGATCTACTTTAAGAAACTTGTGGTTTGTGTCAATTAACTTGTGGTCTACTTTAAGAAATATATGGTATGTTTTATTGAACTTATGGTATGCTTTAAGAAACTTGTGGTATGTTTAAGGGAACTTGTGGTCTACTTTAACAAACTTGTGGTATGCTGAAGGGAACTGGTTGGCGTTATGAGATTTGCGGCATGCTTCAACGAACTTGTAGTCAGCTTTGAGTTTTCTAGTATGCTTTATGAAATTTATTGTGTGATGAGGTTTTGGTATGCTTTATAAGTTTATGTGTGTTTATAGTATTTGTGGTGTGGTTTGTCTATAGTCTTTTCTAGTGTCACTACTAAGGCAAGCGTACCTATCGTAGGAGCAATATAGTGACAGGCAAGATCATATTCCAATAGAGACTATATACTAACAAAAGCAGTGAAATCGACATAGGCAAAACTTAGTGATTCGGGCCTAAATGTACACTTTTGATCCCCATTTATCTTTGGTGTTTATGGCATTTAAGCTCCAAAAGGTGTGGTTTTATGCTAGTTTTGCCGTGTTTCAGAATCTAAAAGGTGGAACCAACCCCGCAGAGTCGATTGTTGGAAGAAATGGCTTGAAATTCAGACCAAAGGTGGAAGCAGCCGAAGATCACGGTCCATGCAGAAAGTTCACGGTCATCAAGATCATGAACTAGAGCCATAAACCGTGAACTGGCAGGGTTCCAGAGCAATTCTACAGGTTACTGGCATCAAGTCAGTTCAGGGTCGCAAGACCTTGAACTGAAGCCATGGACCGTGAACCGACTAAATGAAACGCTGCGAATTGGTTTGAGTTCACGGTCTCCGCCATTAGTTCATGGATGTGAACTGGGATCGTGAGCTGGGCGCGACCTGTGTATAAAAGTAGATCTGAAAAGAAGAAGAGGGGGAGCCAAAAGGGAGAGAAACCTTCTTCTTCTTCTTCTTCTTCAAGAATTTAGAGAGAGAAAGTCATGAACCAAGAGGGAGAAGAAGCTAAGGTTTGCTCCAAGTCAAGATTTGGGAAGTTGCTCTTCAAGAGAGGATTACTACAAGCACAAGGGAGGATTGAGGCATCAAAATGATGGTTTTCCCCCCTTTCCTTTGTGCTCTTCCTTCTTCTAGCATGGAGTAGTCTCTTTTTCACTTGGGTGTTGTAGAACCCTAACTTCTACCATGTAGTTAATTGTGTGGATTGAATGATTGTGTGTGGGTAGTGTTTAATTTGCGCATTGAGGTATTTTTCATGGTGATTATGCATAGTGTGGGCTTGGAAATCTATTATGCTATTCTAACCTAACTTAGAGGGAAACCCCCTTATCTTAAGAGGCTCAAATTGAGTTGGGTTTTCTTGGGCATTCCATGCCTCCTATCTAGGTTACTGTAGGGAAAATATCTAAACTCAAATTGAACACCTAGGTTAATTGTGATTAAGCTATCCAAACCTCGGTTTGAGGGAGAAGTTACGTCAACCCTCAATTGCTTGAGCCAAGAGGGCTACAATTGTAGCCTATAATGCATTCCTTGGCCTATCAATTGAGAGTGTGGTTCTAACCAATGTTGTCTCCTCCTAGCGGGTCACGATTGCCTTTTTTCTGCACCGATTCATTCGATCCCACTGGTCATGGTTGTTAGTTAGGGGGAAACAAATCCCGAGTGAAGCTTATCACCAAAAGTTTCAATCCTTTTACTTTTCAAGTCTTCCTTTTTAATCGTAGACCGTAGAGATTTTGAAAACATCAATTCGCTAGATAATGTTTCTAACAATCGAAGTAGGGGTACATGGGCTGGATCAGA